ACAATGTGCAGGAGAAGCTCTACCAGCCAGAGGCACTCAGCCTAGGCCCAGTCTTGGGGGGCTGGTTTGATTGGTCCTTGTGTTCATTCATTCAGTAGATATTTTGAGCATGTGATCTGTATCAGGCCTTGGGTCAGGGATGCAACATGGAATGAAAATTGGGTACATTATCTGTCCTCTTGGGGCAGAGTCTGGGGAGCTCCTGTTGGTAACATGTAGTTAGAGGCTGTGCTCACTACACCTGTTGCTTGGGAAGCTCTGAGTGAGGAAGAACAGGTTAGTCCTTAGAGTCTAAAACATGGGTGAGTTCTCTGCTCTAGCTTGCTGGGGGATCTGGAGGAGGAAGACCTGGCCCTGCCATGCTGCCCCCGCCACACACACACACACACACACACACACACACACACACACACACACACACACACACACACACACACACACACACACACACACACCAGGCCCCAGTCTCAGGGAAGCTGGTGTGACTTAGAGCCTTGTCAGCAGCATGGCGTAATGGAGGCACATTTGTCAGAGCCTGCTGCCGTGATGATCTCCATAAAAGATGGAGATGGTGCTGCCGTGCATGCGTGAGCACCCATGTCTCCACGGGGTAGGACATTAAGCCCACGGTAAGATTTGTGTGCTACATCTGAGTAATGAGCCATGAAATTGACATTATAAGTTTTAATTATTATTAATGCCTTGCAGGGGTGGCTGGTGTTAATTATCCTGTAGGCATCCCAGATGTATTTCCCTTTGCCTTTTATTTCTTTTCCTTAATGTCTTGAGCCCATAGAAGGCTGGCTGGGTGGCAGCGCTTGAACAGGGTTCCTCCAGAGGCGGGCGTACACAGCTGGGGGTAGCAGGAACAGTCTGCGGGCGAAGAGGAGGTGGCTGCACAGACACCCCTCCGTTTCCTTAAGGTGGGAGGGTCCTCGCGGGTGCTGCCTCTAGGCCCTGTCAGGGACTAATTAGTTCAGCTTATAAAGGGCTTGGAAGATGACAGGCCCCTTGGAGGTCTGAGAGTCCCTGTTTCAGAGCATCTCCTAACAGCAAGACCCCAGTTCTGGCTGCTCGGGCCCCTGAATAGATGCCGTCTTGGTGCCATCCCTAAGTTGTGCTGCTGCCCTCAGAAACAGCCCTGCATCCCAGTCCTGCTCATTGAGGTGCCCATCTCGGCAGCGTGGGGAGGGAGTTCTGGGGTGGGCAGGCTCCCTCTCTCGCTTTCCTTGTCTGTGGTGCTCCCTCACTATCTCCACTCACCCGTTCCTTGCCCACCCCCGACCACGGACCAGAGCATGGCCACCTGACTGGACCAGCCAGGCTGTACTGTGTGCTCTGAGCACTGAGATCTGACCTCAGGGTCACGGGGTGTTGGGGCTGCCTCGCATCCCCCTGGCCCCTCTCTTTTCCACTCACCCCCTAGCATAGCTGCCCTTCTGCTCCTCAGTGTGGAACTGGGAGTGGCCTGATCCTGGATCCTCTGTGGGAGGCTTGCTGGCTGACCAGGGCCTTTTTCCACTTCAGTCCCCACCCAGGCTCTATCTCACAAAGAAACTGAGCCCGACCGATGGACACACATGTACAGGACTCCTGCTGTGTGCTGCACACTCCTGATCCGGAGCTTGGTTTCCTGGGGGCTGCTGTGGGAGGGGTTGATGGAGTAGATGCTCCCAGGATGGGAGAATACAGCCTGCTGCTGCCGGGTTGGAGAGGGAGAGAGGGGCCAAGGTGGTCGCAAAGCCCCAGAGGTCCCAGAAGCCTGTGCTCCATGAGTGAGGATCTGCCCCCCATGGCTGGCACGGGCTGTGGGGAGGAGCGTCAGGAACACTGGCTGGAAGCTGTGCTGAGCCACATGGGGAGCCCTGAATGCTATGCTGAAGAGCTTGGTCCTCCTCCCTGAGGGTAGTAGGTAGCCTCTGAAAGCTCGGAGCCCCAGGGTGCTAGGACCCACTCTGCGTCTGGGCATCCCACCTCATAGTGGGCATATCGCGCCTAAGGGCTCCCTGGTGGAGGTTTGCAGTAGTGGAGGTGGGAGAGAGGAAGGGCCTGGCCATTGGAGTGGAAGCACGCCTCCCTGCTGTTTCCCTGAGCACTCGCTTACCAGTGGGGCAGTAGAACTTGCAGATGAGAGCCAAGGTGAAGGGAGAGGGTGTGCACACGGGTCACTGAGGGTACGTTCTGAGCAGCAGGCAGGCATTCCCTGGCCAGGATGAGGGACACAGGGGTTGGAGGCTCTAGGGACAGCCATGGAATGTCTGGATCAAGAAGTTGAGCAAGTGATTAGATTGGAACTAAGTCCACGACTTGGAAGGGAAGCTGGAAACAGAGAGGTAGGTAGAGTTGGGGCCGTGGAAGGTGCTGGGCTGACCAGGAGGCCTGGGGCTACGCTGCCCATATGGGTGAGGTTGTGCCCATTCTGGACAGGCAGGGAAAGACCAGGTCTCCTGAGCATCAGCAGTCCATGCTCACAGGAACTGAAAGAATGCACCAGCCCTGGAGCCAGGCCACCCGCATGGGAAGGGCTCGGTTTTTTGTCGCTGCATCAGGCCCTTTGCTGCATCCCAAGCAGGTGGGGGCCAGGATTGCACAGCATGCACAGGAGTGGTGCTTGAGGTGGGCTGTGTGTCACCTGAGCTGGTAAGCTGGTGGCTAGCAGCTGGAGTGGGAACGCCAGTGACCCCTCTCCTGGAGATAATAGGGAGGTGCGGATGTCCAAACAGCACACAGATGGATGCAGAGTCCGTCCAGGCAAGAGTGCAAATCTGGCCTTTCTTATTTTTCTTTGCTATGAAGACTAGCAGAACTTAGCCAACAACCTACGAGTCTGTGGTTCTCCAAACGTTGCTATTGAGCACTGTACGCTTCATCTGGGGGTGAAAGGAAATGGCAAAGTGGCAAAGTGAAGGTTCCTTTTGTGCACTGAGCTGAGGCCCATTTTCAGGCTTGAGGGTGGGTTCTCTCCTTATTGTCCCTCTCACACCTCTTACCTTGATGGGTGTCTCAGCTTCCCCGTGTGCTCAGTAGTGAAATGACTGCCAGTGGAAGTCAGTGTTACATTTAACCTGTAAAGTTGTGATAGGCCAAGTTCAAACAGAACAAGAAAGCTATCCTGTCTTTTTGTACATCTAACTCACAGGCTGAGGCAGAGTTTCTCAACATTGGCAGGCTTGATGTTCTGGGCAGGGTAGTTCTCTGCCGTGGGGGCTGCCCTGTGCATTGCAGGACATCTAGCAGCGTCCCTGGTATCTGCACACTAGATGCCAGGAGCACCCCACCTCCCAGTCGTGATAAGCAAAAATGCCTTCCTGCATTGCCAGATATTCCCTGGGGGACAAGACTGTTCCTGATTGAGAACCCCTGGGCGGAGACTGACTGGCCATTGTGTGTCAGCTGTTCTTCTGGTGATTCACAGCCAACAGCCCCTTCCATTCTTTCCTGATCACAGTACTTAGATTACAAGTCACCCCTCTGAAATCAGGGCCTGTTGTAGGCTATTGTGTTCATGGTACAAAGCTGGCCAGGATGAGTGTTATTGGAAGCAAACTGATTTTTTTTTCTTCATGAGTTCTGCAATGAAAAATCCTTTGGTGTTACTATTTAATTGGTTGGTGGTAGCTGTTTGTCAATTTGCCAGCAGGTTCTCTCTTAACTGCTGTCATTTGACATTGCTGAAACATAAATGCAGAGTGATTGAGTTGCCAACATGCTATTAAGTCCTCTACAAAGAGCTTTTCGATGTACTACTGCTTCAGGCTTTTGTGGTTCTATTGATTGATTCGAATACTAAAGAAATCCTTGGCATTGACAGCCCTGGTAAGAAAATGCGGCTTCTGTCTGGGAAATTGTTGGGCATTGCCACAGGGACAGTGGTGGGTTTTCCTTTGGTTTTCCTCTGGCAGAGACTTGGCCTCTGGCAGAGCTTACTCAGTTGATGGGTGTTGACCACCCATATGGGAGAAGAATAGAAACCCCAGCGGCCACTGATCTTTATGAGATGGGTCCAGTTAAGTCGAGGAGCCCACGAAGTGGATGGTGATATCAGATTTCAGAGTGGTTCAGCAGACTCCTAATTGCGAAAAACAGGAGATTGCCACAATTCTGTTTTGGTTTTTGAACTGGTCACTCACCATTTGAGACCAAAGATGGCAGATCACTTTGAGAAGGGCTGGCTAATCTTAGGATGCCCAGAACATCCCATGACATTGAGGATATTATTTTATGGTCTTGAAATTATACTTCTGGACCAGACTGCCATGCTGTATGCATCACAAAGCTATTTGTCATTGGTGTGTGTATGTTGGGGGGGTGTGTGTGACTGTGTGACAGCCAGAGACCACTTGTTAGAACTCCTAGTGCATTGGGGACCAAGGTCCTTGGAGTGGCGGCGGAGGGGGGGGGCAGTGGCCTCCACCTTCCATGGCCAGATTGTCCCTCTGGGCTGGATGTGACAGGTGCATGCCCTTGGTTGTAAGGCTGTGAGTGGGAAGGTCCTGTGGTAGGTACGGGTCTGTCCCCTTGACCTGAAAACCCCATTAACATGTGTTTTGTTTTCTGCAGTGGATGACAGTGTAGCACAGAGTAGTGGATGGGAATATCAGAGGCAGCCCCCTGCTGGGGATTCCGCTACCCTGCGGGAGTGTGGCTTTGGGCCAGTTTACCTTCTCTCTCTCCCTGCCTCAGCCCCCTCACCTGTAAATGACAGTAATTCAGCCCCCGTTCCACAGTACTTTTCAGCAGAGTGAGTTGGTTCCTGTGGACAGTCCAGGACTGTGCTTGGTCCCCGTCTCACGTGGAGTGTTGGGGGGCCTGGCAATACAGGGACTGTCTTGTCTCGGCAGGGCATGGATCCCCATACCGGGGTCTGTTTCTTTGAAGTACTTCCCACTCTGGAACATTCTGTATGTGCCCACACAGCACGGGAGCCCCCACCCTGGACAGATCTGAAGGGGCGACAGGGAGGCCACATTGAGTAACCAGATACTATGTTTTCCTTTCAGACTCTTTCCCAGCTTCCCTATGGGAAGGCGCTCTACAGTTACGAGGGAAAGGAACCCGGCGACCTCAAGTTCAGCAAGGGCGATGTCATCATCCTGCGGCGCAAGGTGGATGAGCACTGGTACCACGGGGAGCTGCACGGGGCACATGGTTTCCTGCCTGCCAGCTATATCCAGTGTGTCCGGCCCCTGCCACAGACCCCGCCCCAGGGCAAAGCACTTTATGATTTCGAGATGAAGGACAGAGACCAGGACAAGGACTGTCTGACCTTCACCAAGGTGAGGGGGGGACCCCCGTGAACACTGCCACCTACCTCTGTGATTCCCACCTCCCTGCTAGTTTGAGTCCTGGCTCCTTCCCGCCATCCACCCTCCCTGCCGTGCCTCGGGAAGCAGGGAGAGCAGCTGTCCCTACTTCCTGAGTTTTTGTTTGATGGAAAGAGATGTTGCACAGCCTGACACATAGCTCCGCCTGAGAGCTGACTGTGTGCTCATTGGGTAACAGGTGCGGCACCCTCTGTCACCTGAACCATGGGGTCTCTGCAGCAACTCAGGTGCAGAGGAGTGAAGTCTCTCAGGGACAGACTCACAGACCTGGGAAGGGGGCTCCTTGTGGGAGCCTGCTGCAGAGACCCCTGCAGCTCACAAGGAAGTGGTGTGGTGCCCAGAAACCAGCATGCCTCAGCCCTGTGCTCTGCAGCACCAGGGAGCACGCACATGTGTGCTGGGGGCCAGCCTGGGTCAGCCTTGTGGAGAGGGCACATGCACGTCTGTTGGGGGCCGGGCTGGGTCACCTTGCAGAGAGGGACCCGGGTGGTGGCAGACTCAGTGGCAGGTGCTGGTGGAATTGTTGTAGCAGAGCCCAGGGAGATGCGGGAGGGCCTCTGCCCTTGTGAAGTGTGGAGAGACCAGAGGTGACGCAGTTGCCCTCAGCAGCTTTACCTACAGGTTGTCTCCCTGCTGTGGGAGCCCAAGCTCAGAGAGCTGAGGTGCTTCCTGAGGCCAGGGCTCAGCCTCTCCTGCCTTCCTGCTCCCCTCTCCCACCCTGCCTCCTATGAGCACAGACTGTCAGGACAGAGCTATAGTTCTAAATCTCAGGCTTGAAAGCCCAGGGCCTTTCTTCTGAGATCCAAGGTTACCTTTCCCCACTGGGCTCAGGCAGAGCTAGCGGTGCTGGTGAACTCTCTGGAGGGCCGCGGGAGGACTGCACACACCATTTTTTAGCAAAATTGGCATGTCCTGTGCCTGGCTGCTATTTATGTCTTGTTCCATTGTTCAGACTGACAGTGAATAATCTATTTTTCATTCACAGATTCCACTCTTTCTTCCTTCCTTTCATCAAGGTGTTCTGATGCTAATTCTGGTTGTCACCTGGCTGATGTGGCTTCTTAGGAAGCTGCAGCCAGACCTGCCCCTCCCTCCTCCCATCTCCCCACTTGGTCTCTCTGGGTCTAAGCCTACAGTGCAGGGCCTGGAGTGCAGTGTCGGACAGAGCCCCTACTTTGCTCACTTTTCTGCCCAATGGACTCTGGAGAACCTGCCCTGAGAGAAGAATGCCCTGAGGGCCTGTGATGCTCTGTGCTCTCACTCTTGACCAAGAGCAGGAATCCCTGTCAATCTCTTGGGTTCTGGTTGGGCTCTTGCTGAGGAGATGGCTCCAGGCTTCTTGGAGCTCAGCTGGCTCCAGCAACAGCCATCCTCACAGAACTGTGTTGGAGGAGGCTCTTCGACCTGGGAGAGTGCGATGTGCACTGACCACTGCAGAGCCCTGGAGCCCCCAGCTTCCTCTAGTGTGAGCACAGGCCTGCCTCTCCTGCCAGTGTCATAACTGCTGTGTCAACATCCTTTGCTTGGGACCCTCACCTCCAGGGTGGAGACCCCAGCCCATTGTACAAGAGGACAGAGAGGCGCTTGCCCACTTATCAAGAAGTGTTCTTGCTTCTGCCTCTGCTGGGCACTGTGCTACACTGGGAGACCTGGACGGTCCTTCATAGCCTCAAGTCCAGTGGGAGAGGCAGGCAGGAGCAAGTCAAGAAATAAGTGTATCTATGTTTCTGAAAAAGGAACAGTTTAGCAGGCTGATGAATAAGATCTGAGTTGGCATCTTGCTGGCAACAGAAACAGCAAGATGCCAGGTGATTTTTCAGACTTATTTGTGATACTTTAAAGATGCAATAAAAACTATACTGATTTGGGGTCTTAAAAAAAAAGAAAGAAAGAAAGAAGTATTCCAAAGCCAGCCTCAGAAAATAGGCCTGGCCACCCGGGAGTGAGATGCTATGGCCTTTTAGTAAAGGCTCCAGAATACTCAATGGTAGTGCTTCATGTTTGCTATTTCAAAAGAAGCAGTAAAGTAGTCTTCATGGGGAACATTAGAACTCAGGCTTTCTTAGACTCATTCTGTAGTTGGCAATGTTCTTATTTTGAATTAAGTTGGGGGTACAGTGACTGCATCTGGGGAGTGAGCGGGCATCACCAGAGGTGTCTGTGGCTATGACGGCTTCTGGGAGATGGCATTGGAGTTGAGACTTAGGGGCAAAGGTGCCAGTGCAAGAGGACCTGGGGGTCTCTGGCTACATAATGTGGCTGCTCCCACTGGAAGCCAGGTAGGAGGTGCATATCTTAGGGAGTTTTTCAAGGACTTTTCTTTTCTTGCATCTTGTGGGTGAATGTGGAGAGTTAGAGACACCTGCACATGATTCCCGGTGAAAATCATGCTGTGACATCCACCCCCTGTCATGTTCACATAACCTTCTTAGGAGCACCCATTTTTGCCCTTCTACTTGGATTAAGACACAACCACACCTACCAAGCACCTGTTCTATCTGTAGCTCTTACCTCTAAACGTCTTCAGACAAAGCGTCTGAAGGACATGGGTGAGGAATCATGACTCTCTTCTGCTTGATTCATATTTCCTCTTACCCACACTGCTTGCCTAACATTTCCCTTCCATGTACATCTGACCAGCTCATTTGTTTCCATGCCCGGGATGCTGTTTCCATCTGACAACCTCCATTTATATCATACCTCAAGTGACTCCGGGCTTGGCATCACTGCTTCAGACCAGCTTGGTTTTGCCTGCATGGAATGCTTTGTTGTTTGCATGTGTTCCACTCTGGAGACATCAAGGCAAGAAGGGTCTCTAAAATCCACAGATGATGCTAACTGACTTTTCAGAAGCATCATTGTGATGGGATTGATTGGGTCTAAAAAGGCAGGAAGCAGGGGGATCAAAGCAAGATTTTTACCTTCGGCATTGGCTCTTGAACAGTCCTGTTAAAATTGCATTAATTAAAGCCATTCTAAGACCAAAGGCCTTGTTTCATTTAAGAAGAAAATGAATAATTACTTTTTGTAAAGCAGCTATGAAAAGCATAATTTATAACTTAGTAGTCCCACTCCAAAAAGCAGGGCATGTGAAAATACAAAAACCAAAGGAAAGAACTACAGTGTGCCCAGTGCAGCTCTGCTGGCTGCTCTTTTACAGGCTCTCACGTGAGGCTTTGATGCCTGCCGCCCTCCACGTGCACAGGGAGGGAAGGGGCCTGTTGGGGAGGCGCCCTTGGTGCAGGGACATGGCAGTGAGAGATCTCACATGTTGGGAAAACACTTCACCTTGCTGGGCCACCCAATCTTCAGGGTCAGGACACAGATCCTACAGAGGAGCACCAAGGGCTGAGTGATCCAAGTAAAGAGCTAAACTTAGGGCTTGGCAGGCAAGTGGGGACATTGAGTTCCATTTGCTTGGTGGCAGCTTACTCCCCGTATTACCTTATTTTCACTCAACTACAAAATTCAGCAAATATTCATTAAGCCCTAACGATGTGAACTCCAGTTAATGAGAACGCTTTCATCACCCTGCCAGGGAGCTGTACTGGAAGTAAAGCGCCTGGGACTACCCTTTAGTGAATTCACTCTGAAATGCTCGGGAATCCTGAGAAGCCATGAGATTTTTCTCTTGGGTGGTGCCTGGCTGACCCCAAAGCCACGTTTGCACACAGCTAGCAGCAGGAGCCTGAGGCTCACTGTGTTGGGCTGAACCCCGTCATGCTTGCCATGTGAGGCTGCAGGAAAGCTCCTTTCCAATGCTCACCTCTCTCTCTTCCCTGGCCATCTCCAAGGGCCTGAGGGATGCTCTGAGTCGGCAAAGACACACGTAAATCACCTCCATGCTGTCCTGGCTTAGCCCTAGTCTTCTGCTCTTGGGGTCACCACAGGCGCCTTCCATGTGATCTTATGATGCTACTGAATGTTTAGTCATTGTTTCCCAAAAGTATAGGGCTTCCCTCCTATGTGAATTAACCCAGCATTAATCCCAAACTGTGTGCTTCTGATCCAGGGAACAGGCTTAGACAAAAATCAAGTCTAGACAGTTTGGGGTCTAGAGTCAGGTAAATAAGGTTATAAAACATGATACTTTTTTATTATTAAATGGCAACTTTGGGACATGTACTTAGTCTCTGAGTCTCTTTTATTAACTGCCGTGGAGTCTATAACAGGATTCAATGAGCAATGGCATTTGGATAACAGAGCTCAAAATAGGCATTTGATAAGTATTTGCTTTCTATCCTCTGCCTTCTTCCTGTTCAAGAGAAGATGAGGTTAGGTCAGATACTTAGCACTTTCTATGTTGGTCCAGAATGCTCACAGAAACACGGACACCCTTCCTGAGGCACACGCTGCATGGGGAGCTGAGAATCTATCTGGCCAGTTGGCCACACCCATAGCTTTCTGGCTAACTCCCTCAGGGTATTGCCCAGGGCTGTGAAATCTCAGCCTTGTGTCAAGACTGCTGTCCCCAACGCTGAGCACCAGGCCTGCTGTGTCATCCCTGCTTCTTCTGGAGGGTGATAAGGAATGCTTTCAGGACTGGAAGGACTCAGGAAACAAAGTGGGATGAGCCTCAGTGCAATTCTCGCTCAGGTTTCCTTCAGAAGTTACCAGAGAATCTCAGTTACCTTTGTGGCTCGGGGCTCCCTCTTCCCAGCCTCCTCTGCTGCCTGGCCATCTGGGCAGAGGAGGCACCTTTACTAAGGTGGCCAGTCCCCAACATGAGCACCTAGGTGGTGACAGGAGAGCAGCCAGAGGACTGCTGAGGAATGTCCTTGCCCGGCCCCTTATTTGAACATCCAGGTGAGGGTTGGAGACACTGACAGGGAATCTTTTAGATTTTCAGGCAGAGCTTGAGTTATGTCTGAAGCTTTGTCAGAAAATATTTTCAGACAGGTCCACAATGTGAGTTCTTCCCCAGGACTAGCCTCCCACCTGGTGTGCCCTGT